CAGAAATGTCAGATGCAGGGGTGGACTGACCATTTGGAAACTCGGGCACTGCCCGAGGGCCCGGGATCAGTAGGGGGCCCCATGAGGTGCCCCTGGTACCTTTTTCATAGGCTTTTTGAGTTTGGGCAAGGACACAGGGGCCCCATGATCCCCTATTGCCCGGGGGCCCCATGAGTTGTCAGTCCGCCCCTGATCTGATACATTCAGAAATGTCAGATGCAGGGGTGGAGTGACCATTTGGAAACTCGGGCACTGCCTGAGGGCCCGGGGTCAGTAGGGGGCCCCATGAGATGCCCCTGGTACCTTTTTCATGGGCTTTTTTGAGTTTGGGCAAGGACACAGGGGCCCCATGATCCCCTATTGCCTGGGGGCCCCATGAGTTGTCAGTCCGCCCCTGGTCAGATGCTGAAGGTTCCCCTAGAAGCCATAGCGTTTTGAAGAGTGTGAAATAAGGACTCACTGCCTCCTGGGGTGTAAAGTATTAAGAGTTGTCTTTGTCATGCTACTTCAGTTTTTTTTTCCCCAAGATATACATTTGAAAAGCCTTTTCAAATGTACATCTGAACAGATGTGCAGTGAGCTGGTGGTTCCTGATATGGTATATCAGTGAAGTTTTAATAACTTTTTTTTATTACTTCAGGTAGGTTTTAGTTACTTATATGTATGTATTTGCACACACATATGAAGGCTCAAAATGTTTTGTGTGTCATTTTGGGATCTCCATAAATCTTCCTCCCAACAGTAGTGCCAGAATTTATATTCCAGACTCTCAGACACTGTCATATTGAATAAATGCTGTAAGCAATGGAACTTTCAGCTGTGCATCTGCCTTGGAAAGTATAATGCTAATAAAATAGATGTCAGGTAATAATAACCCAGTAATGAAAAATATTAGCGTGTAGCTTCAGTAAGATGAAACTTGACACTTTTTTCTTTTCTCCAAATTGGAACCGCAGAGGACAGATTCTTCTGACTTGTTGGATGGATGTTGAAATATGTCAAGCTAAGAAGAATGCCAGACAGCTAGGAACTGAGACACAGCTGAGAAGTCAGGAGGCATCCATACTAATGTTTCAGATGTTTCCAAGACATTTTTAAACAAGTGTTAAGGTGATGTCTCAAGATAGGCTGACTGTCATACACCCTGCAATGGATTGCTTTCTACAGTTACAGTATATATACACAAGGATTGTCTTGAGACCCTCACTTTGTGGGATATTATTTTTTGACATCATGGGACATTATTATTATTTCTTTGTTTAACCACTTTGCACCCTGGGCAATATTTAAATTTTTCCCACACTTTAAAATCAGCAATTTACTGCATATGCACTGTACAAGAAAATATTTCAATACATTTGGGATTCAAAGACAACTTCATTACTGCCTCTGTTAGAATTATGCTAACAACCTGTTTGATATTATTGCAAAAACACAACATTTGGGCTCAATTACTAAAGGATATAAGACTCTTCACAGAATAAATTGTATGAATATTCATTTCAATTATCCCAACTTTGAGTTCATTTTTAATACCCAATAATGTGGAGATGAAATAGGTAAAATTAATTTCTTTTAACTTTAGACGAGGGGTTGGAGAAATAGTCTCCAGGAGCCTGTGCTTGCACTGATCACAATTGCAATGCTTTTCAGGGTCCAATGCCAAAAAATAGTAAATGCACATTTACATTTTTTTAATGGGTGCATTTATTAATTCTCTTACAAGGAGCTTCACCTAAAAGGGGAAGTTCCACTTACCTCCCCCCCCCCCCCCCTTCACTGCCACATTTGGTTTGGCACTTTTTGGGGGCGGGGGATCGGGTACCTGGTCTTGATAGGTACCCACTTCCACTTTTGGTCAGATGCACCGCGGTTATCTGAGCCAGAATTTTGTCCCCCTCTGTCCCCCACAGCCTTCTGGGACACTTCACAGGTCCAGGGGCGGACTGACCATTTGGAAACTCAGGCACTGCCCGAGGGCCCGGGGTCAGTAGGGGGCCCCATGAGATGCCCCTGGTACCTTTTTCATAGGCTTTTTTGAGTTTGGGCAAGGACACAGGGGCCCCATGATCCCCTATTGCCCGGGGGCCTCATGAGTTGTCAGTCCGCCCCTGCACAGGTCCCAGAAGACCATTCACAAAGCGCAGTGTACTTTGCGCATGCACAAAGCTTCATTTCCGGTTTCCCTTACTGAAGATGTCAGCACCTGCACCCTGAAGCTGACTGAAGAATTGGATAGGGTGAGGACATCGCTGGATCCCTGGTCAGGTAAGCACCATATATATTAAAAGTCAGCAACTATAGTATTTGTAGCTGTTGACTTTTAATTTTTTCGGGGGAGCTTTAATTTAACCACAAATTGCACAAGAGTACTATTTGTGGTTGGAAGAAAACTAAAAATCTAAAGGATTAATTAACGTAACAGTTGTGAAAATTTAGAAAAGACATCCACGAAAACTGATTGCAGCAGATTCAGTATATTTTTCAAAGGGGACTGGACAAAAAGAAAGAAAAATGTAAATGTATACATACATTCCTAAGTAATACTGTACATTGTAAATCAATGATCTAGGACGTTAACCAATGCCCTTCAGAGGATCAGAAAAAAATGTTTTTTCCTAATTAGAGAAATTGAATCAAGCGTCATTGGGTTTTATTTTGCCTTTCGCTGGATCAATTAGAGATTGTAAATTCTGGGGATGCCATGTTTTTGAATCTAGCTATGTAACTAAAATATGACTCTATTTTCATTGGTGATTTCAATAGTTAAAGCTCATAAAAGTTGAGAAGCAATACATAGGAACCTAACAGCAAAATCTACTATTTGAGATGAATAATATCTGAGCTCAAATATTCTTTAATAAATCTTTATTATATCTGAAATAGTTTGAAATTGTCTACTTTTGCTTATTTTTAGACACCAGATTTACCAACCTGATTTTCCTTAAGTGTTATCTGCCCTTGTTCTTTGCATCCAATAAATGTTCTTGTGCAGCGATAAAGACTCTCATTTGTTTGTACCTTTTGCACAAAATTAGCTGGAAAATATCCGATTCTGTCTTCTATTCTACCCTATATAGAAAAAAAACATTCAAGATATTTCAAAACTATTTTTAGTATGGGTCAGAGTGTAAAGTCATGTAGGCTAATTCATACAGTGCTTTTTCTCTATTATTACTACAAAAAATTGTCACACAAGACTGGAGACCCATCAAAAGTACACGTGACAATATTGACAGCATTGAAAATTTCAGATCAAAGGAAAATTGAGTGGGTTCTGAATTGAGGGAATTCTGGATAGCACTTTCTTATTAGCACAATTATGTTGCATCGAGCAGATTGAGTTAGAAAGAGCTTTTCATTTTTATACATTTACACATTTGTTCTTAGTGCTTTGAACCTCTAAACACTAACGGCTATCACTAACCAAACCTCTTAACTAAGCTCTAACACTAAATTGCCCCTGTCACGGAGCTGGTCCTTCCTTCCCCATCCTCCAGGTTTGCTGGCTGCCACCTCCCACCCCTCAGCAGCCCCTCCGTCTTTTCTGACCCGTCCATGCTGGGACTTCTAGTTCTCAGTGTCCCTGACACAGGCAGCCCTCAGCAGCCCCTCACCCCCCTGGCTTGCAGTCTGAACTCCTGCTGAAGGAATCCATAAACAGGCCCCCTCCTCCCTTCCCCCTCATGCACAAATTCCTGAGCTCCCTGGGCAGGTCTGGAGACCTGGGAGACAGGGCCCGTTGCCATGGTAACCCGACAGGAAATCTCTGGTTACCAACAAGGCACATAGCTCTCTACTTAAGAGAGAGGAAGGAAACCCCCAGTGTGTTCTCCTGGCTGTGTGTGTGAGGGAAGGCTGTGCTGAGTGCCAGCTTCTCTTATCCAACTATTCCCCAACCATCCCCCGTCCTCCTCATCTCCTGGACTGTCTGTGCTGCCTGGAATCCCTGCACTGTGGAGAATCTTCTGCTGCCCCCCCGTGAATCTGCCTGGATCTACTTAACCCCTTGCTCTCTGCCTGCCTGGACTTAACCCCTTGCTCTCCGTGAACCTGCCTGGACTTAACCCCTTGTTCTCCGTGAACCTGCCTGGACTTAACCCATCCCTGCCTGGATCCTCCTGTGTGGATTAACCCTGTGGATTACAATTCCCCTGTTGTTCCATATTGCCTTCCAGAGAACTGTACTGTGTTGCTGTGTCTGGTGTGGACCTGTGGACTAAAGGAACTGTTGTCTGTGCCCCAAAACCCCCCCCCAATAAAAGCATGTTGGGTTCTGTGCAATCTGCCTCTGTGTGCTCTCTGGTTCTCTTGACAGCCCCTAATCTGCTGCATGTTCACCTTGTTCTGAGACACAAGTCCCAGCATGAATCACTACAATTCTTCACCAAAAGTACATAGTGGTGAAAACTCAGCATTTAAGTAAACTGATTTGCATTATTATTTTCTATATCAGATGGAAATTGGATATTAAAGCTAAATTACAGCCAAAGAATACAAATTCTTCCTTACTGGGAGAGCACCTACTTCCTATTAGACCACTGACATCACTTTTGGACTTATACGGACATGTCTGAGGGGCCTTCTGACACTTTGAAATACTGAAAAAGAATCGATAACTAGTCCTTTGGACCACTTTTCCAGTTCACTGTTTGAACCATGTTTACCACTGAGGCAAACTGCAGCTCCCTGGTCAACACCAGCCTAGAGCAAACCATTCACCATTTATCTCCATTTATCACCATTTAAAACCATTTATCTCACGCCTGGACTACTGCAACTCCCTTCTCACTGGCCTACCCAAACAAACGCTATCCCCACTCCAGTCTATCCTGAACTCAGCGGCTAGACTCATCCACCTCACCAACCGCTCCGCTTCTGCCCCCCCCCTCCGCCAATCCCTTCACTAGCTCCCAATTGCCCAATGCATTAAATTCAAATTACTAACTCTGACATACAAGGCCATTCATAACGCTGCCCAAACTACCTAACCGACCTGATACCCAAATACCACCCCACCCGTGCCCTTCGCTCCTCACAGGACCTCCTACTTTCTAGCTCCCTGGTCTCCTTCTCCCACGCCCGACTGCAGGACTTCTCCAGGACTTCCCCCATCCTCTGGAACTCCCTACCCCAATCCATCAGACTGTCACCTACCCTCCCCACCTTCAGGCGCACCCTGAAAACCCATCTCTTCAGGGAAGCCTACCCCACCCTCACCTAACAGCTGTTCTCCTCCACTCCTACCACTCCATCCCCCACAGCCACTTCCCCCTGTACCTCTACCCCCTCCCTCCTAGATTGTAAACTCGAAAAGCAGGGCCCTCGAACCCCTCGTGTATTGTTTTGTTACTGTATTGTCTCATGTACTGTCCCCCACTCTAATGTACAGCGCTGAGCAAACCTTTTGGCGCTATATAAACACTGTATAATAATAATAATAATAATTCACCCTGTGATCTGACTCATGGAAATCAATTCATTCATACTTAAAAGAGAAGTGTGGCCAACGCTTTGTTTGGTCATACTTCTCTTCTGGGTCATAGTTCTGCACTCCTGTAACACAGTCTCAACAGACAATGGTCTAAATCCTACTGTTGGCTGACATCACAGAGCCAATCCAGGCTACAATAATGTTGGGATCCACACATATGCCTGACCAGCATCTGGCTCAGCGTCTAAGCACGGCACTGAGAGCCTGTGCCAGCCAGTCCCACCCCCTCCAAAGTCAAGAACTTCAGTGAACTCTTAAAGCGGCAAAGCAGAGAACAGTGGCTGATAGTCAATGTTCTCTGCTCAGAGTGGACAGAGAGCTGAGCTATCAGAGATCATGTGATTGCTCAGTTCTTGGCCTTAGAGCCGGCGGAGGGCATCTGCAGCATCAAACCAATGATTCAAACAGTATGGAGTAGTATGTAGTTTAGTATTGTAGTACGAGTATGTTTGTTTATTTTTTAGCAATCCCACACATCTTCTTTTAGCCTACAGGGCACTTCTACCCCCTTCCTGCCTACAGGGCACTTCTACCCCCTTCCTGCCGACAGGGCACTTCTACCCCCTTCCTGCCTACGAGACACTTCTACCCCCTTCCTGCCTACGGGACACTTCTACCCCCTTCCTGCCTACGGGACACTTCTACCCCCTTCCTGCCTACGGGACACTTCTACCCCCTTCCTGCCTACAGGGCGCTTCTACCCCCCTTCCTGCCTACAGGGCGCTTCTACCCCCTTCCTGCCTAAAGGGCACTCTACCCCCTTCCTGCCTACAGGGCACTTCTACCCCCTCCCTCCGTGCCTACAGGGCACTTCTACCCCCTTCCTGCCTACAGGGCACTTCTACCCCCTTCCTGCCTACAGGGCACTTCTCCCCCCTTCCTGCCTACAGGGCACTTCTACCCCCTTCCTGTCTACAGGGCACTTCTACCCCCTTCCTGCCTACAGGGCACTTCTACCCCCTTCCTGCCTACGAGACACTTCTACCCCCTTCCTGCCTACGGGACACTTCTACCCCCTTCCTGCCTACGGGACGCTTCTACCCCCTTCCTGCCTACGGGACGCTTCTACCCCCTTCCTGCCTACGGGACGCTTCTACCCCCTTCCTGCCTACAGGGCGCTTCTACCCCCTTCCTGCCTACAGGGTGCTTCTACCCCCTTCCTGCCTAAAGGGCACTTCTACCCCCTTCCTGCCTACAAGGCACTTCTACCCCCTCCGTGCCTACAGGGCACTTCTACCCCCCTTCCTGCCCACCGGGCACTTCTCTACCCCCTTCCTGCCTACAGGGCACTTCTACCCCCCTTCCTGCCTACAGGGCACTTCTACCTCCTTCCTGCCTACAGGGCACTTCTACCCCCTTCCTGCCTACAGGGCACTTCTACCCCCTTCCTGCCCACCGGGCACTTCTACCCCCTTCCTGCCTACAGGGCACTTCTACTCCCTTCCTGCCTACAGGACACTTCTACCCCCCTTCCTGCCTACAGGGCACTTCTACCCCTTCCTGCCTACTGGGCACTTCTACCCCCTTCCTGCCCAGGACAATTTCCAGCTTTCAGCGCTGTTGCACTTTGAATGACAACTGCGCGGTCATACAACACTGTACCCATATGAAATTTTTATCATTTTTTTGTGACAGATAGAGCTTTCTTTAGGTGGTATTTAATCACCTCTGGGATTTTTATTTTTCTTAAACAAACCAAAACCCACTGAAAATTTTGAAAAAAAAGTTTTTTCTTAGTTTTTGTTATAAAATTTTTCTCCTTCACTAATGTGTGCTAATGAGGCTGCAGTGATGGGCACTGATAGGCTGCACTGATGGACACTGATAGGTGGCACTGATGGGCACTGATGAGGAGGCACTGGTAAGTGGCATTAATGGGCATTGACAGGCATCACTGATGGGCATTGAAAGGCAGCACTGATATATGGCACTGATAGGTGGCACTGATAGGCAGCACTGACTGGCACTGTTAGGTGGCACTGACTGGCACTGTTAGGTGGCACTGACTGGCACTGTTAGGCGGCACTGATAGGCAGCACTGATGGGCATTGACAGGCAGCACTGATGCACACTGATAGGTGGCTCTGACTGGCAGCACTGATAGGAGGCACTGACTGACATTGATAGGCGGCACTGACTGACACTGATAATATTATTGGGATTTTCTTTTTTTTTTCACTTTCGGAGATAATGGAAACATAACTAATAGAGAGGATTAATCTCCCTAACAGGGGCACAGACAGCAATAAAAACCTGACCATTAGGTGCTCTAATCCCTTTCCACTGTATTTGAAACTAAAAAGTTTTTCCTTTTGTTATAATTTATATGTTGCAATCTGTGTTTATCAATGTCTGTGAGTCCCCAAAAATTGTCAGTTTTGGTGTATAATATAGAATAAAGAATAACACACACCTTCAAAAAAAAATATAAAACAACAATATTAGTATTAATTTCAGTGTTTAATATATGTTATAAATGCACTTGGTCATATATATATATATATATATATATATATATATATTTGTCACGTAACTCATTGGTAAATCCTAATTTATAGCATGTTTAACATTTTTCATAATTACCTTCCACCAATCTTCATTTGAATCATCCAATATAGTAATTTTATCACCAGGCCTACAAATAAAAACATAAATAAAACTTTTTCAAATATAGATGCATATGAATAGTTTGAATATTTTTTTGAATACAGATGCACTGATATGTAATCTCACATAAAAGTATATTGAAAAATATTAGTGGCCTCACGATGAAGTTGGTAATGAATACATTATTACTATTACTGTAGGATATATATATATATATATATATATATATATATATATATATACATACCAGGGGCGGACTGACAACTCATGGGGCCCCTGGGCAATAGGGGATCATTGGGCCCCTGTGTCCTTGCCCAAAACTCAAAAAAGCCTATGAAAAAGGTACCAGGGGCATCTCATGGGGCCCCCTACTGACCCCGGGCCCTCTCGGGCAGTGCCCGAGTTTCCAAATGGTCAGTCCGCCCCTGATACATACATACATATATATCTGCCACCACCAGTAGGTAGATCCCATTGCTTTTACATTAGTGTTTTAAAAATCACTTGTCTAAGAAACACATTTTCTGGAACTGACTTTACCCAGGATTTATATCATTACCGCCAGGTATGTTTGAGTAAAATACATACGTATTTGTTCTTCAGGCCTAACGACCTATTTAAATATTTAAGTTTACACTTTTCCAGTTAGCAGATAAAATTAAATAAAATCCAATGAAATATGTTTCACTTCTTTGCTTTATATCAGTGATAAACCAGCTGTTAAACTCAAATGAGACAGAGGGCCAAAAATTAAAAATAACTTTTCAAATGGCAATATTCATTTCACTGATGGCAGCACCCATCTAATTCCAGTGCTGCTAAATTATTTCCTGCATTAACAAATTCAAATAACAATATTTTCAAACACATTTATTACTACATATTTAATTATGCAAGGGAATGTAAGTTTTATTAGCCATAATGCAGTCTGAGACATATGTGACATCATTAAGTTGCAATGGACAAAGGCTGAAAAAAGTGTTGAATGTTGGCCAAAGAACTTCAGTTTGACATGCTTGCTGTAGTGTATTGTCTCTACACAACACGTCCCTTGCATATTGGCTGAAGATAAAATGGTATACAGAAAGAATAAAAAATCTGCAGTCTTATATGGGACCATTATATCAGACCAAGATAATGTCTGAGGAAAAAAAAAAAAAAAAAACAAAGGCGAATTTGCATTGGAATAGCAAAGCCACTGCATTTGTTCTTGTCATTGCTTGATAATCACAGTTTTACATTCTGTTTGTGCTAAAACTATGGACTGAACCAGGGGCGGACTGACAACTCATGGGGCCCCCGGGCAATAAGGGATCATGGGCCCCTGTGTCCTTGCCCAAACTCAAAAAAGCCTATGAAAAAGGTACCAGGGGCATCTCATGGGGCCCCCTACTGACCCTGGGCCCTCGGGCAGTGCCTGAGTTTCCAAATGGTCAGTCCGCCCCTGGGCACAATATAGTTACTGTTGTTGGAAGACAACAGGGTGCACATATACAACTATATAGAGTAACTGAACATTAAGGGGAGAGAGAGGCAATGAGGATGTTATGTTTCATTCTACAAAGTCTCTGTAAAGTCTATGTAAGTCCTGGTAGAGATGAATGAATACTTATAAAAATTCAGCAAACCCGATCAGTGAATCCTATTAAAGTTTATTAAGGGCAAATCCTGTTAGCAAATATGCGAAATTTTTGAGCTAATAAGCAAGATATTGTAAAAGAAAGGGCATGGGAAACTAAGTGCTACCAGAGGACACATACACCAGCTCCAACATTTTTTTTACCGTGCAGCAGAGAGGGGATCCTTTTCATTCGGGTTTGAGGGTAAAGGAAAAACAGGAACCCTTTAAATTACTGGTTTGAGTGTTAAATCCTAACATGGTGTTACAAAACAGTACAATTTTCATGGCCAGCATCATCAGTGTACACTGGCAGCAAAAATGTGGCTGTGATTTTTGCTTGTACAATTAGCCTGCCTTACATACAGCAGCAACATCCCATTCTTATGTATTTCAGCTTAAAAAGGCAACGTAGCTTTAGCAGCAGCACAATCAAGCTGTAATATAGCTGTTTTGACCCACGTAAAAAAAAACAGGCCAATGGTTGGGTGAGGCTGTCCCTGTTTTTACTGATTTAAAACTGTCCCGTCACCTGGCAATTTCTATTAACCACTTCCAGACCGGACACTTTTACCCCCTCCTGACCAGGGCAATTTTCAGCTTTCAGCGCTATCACACTTTGAATGACAATTGCGCGGTCATGCAACAGATAAAGCTTTATTTTGGTGGTATTTATTCAGCGCTGGGATTTTTATTTTTTTTGCTATGTAAATGACAATGTCCAAAAATTTTAAAAAAAAGCGTTTTTCTTATAAAATTTTGCAAATAAATAATATTTAATCATAAATCTTGGCCAAAATTTATTCCGTTATCTTTTTAGTAAAAAAAATAAATAATAAGCCAAATTAGTTTATAACCAAAAATTATAATTTTTAAACATTTTTTTTAAATTTTTTTTTAATATTATTATTTATTTTATTATTTTTTTTTTTTTACATACTGTCACCCTAGCAGTACAGTGTCACCATTGTGATACTGTACTACTTTTGGGGGGTGATGAAGATTTTTTAAAAATTTTTTTTTTTTTTTTTTTTACACTGATTGCTTTTTAAACCCATATAGGATGTACTGTAAAAGCAATCATTTCTCTTTCTCTTTGTCTGCATTCTTGCAGCCATTGAGAACTACTGAGTGAGCTGTGATTGGTCACAGCTTGTCACATGGTACAAGCTGTTGTGAATAGCCTTGTACCATGTGACCTTTGTGATCTTTTACAGATTTCACACGTAGTAAGCAATGATATCACAAGTGACATCTTGCTTACTACTTTGCATGTGATCACTGATTGGCCAATCAGCGATCACATGATCGGGACCTCGTACAGAGGTCCCGTCCAACGATCGGTGTTTCACTGTGTCCGGAGGACACAGCGGGCACCGGATCGCGGTGCTGCGCGCTTCCGGGGAGTGCGCACAAGCAGGGTGTGGGGAGGGCCACCGTTCGGCCGTTTATATACAACGGCCGGACGGGAAGTGGTTAAAACTCACATTATAAATTAAGAGAATCAGGGGCGGACTGACAACTCATGGGGCCCCCGGGCAACAGGGGATCATGGGCCCCTGTGTCCTCGCCCACACTCAAACCACACTCAAA